AAAAAAAAAAGAAAAAAGAAAAGAAAGAAAGAAAAAGAAAAAAAAAGTCAATAGCACTTGAAAAGCATTTCCCTAGGACATTTACTACAGCATTCTGACCCCACAGTGCTCAATTTTAAGGACCGCAGTTTGCTTGCCAAATGGGCATATCTTGGCTCCCTTTGCTAGGTAGAAACACTGCCTTGATATTAAATATTCAAAGCAAAGAACCTCTGACCTAAGGGCTCTCAGCTAACAATGACATTCTCTGTAAGTAAACTAGAAACCCAGCTCAGCTCCAGGTTTGCCAGGGTTCTCTGCCACGTACCAGTCTACTGCAGAGCAGGGGGAGAAGTGACTCCATTTACCATGATTAGATTGCAAAGGACCCTGCCCGCAAAAGCTCGGACTTGGCAGAAGATCCCTGGAGAAGGGGGAGAGTGGGGTTCAGAGTTGCCCCCTGGGCTGGGCAGGGGCTGGGAAAGGGTGAAGGCCTCCAACTTCACCAGAGGGAGACCCAGGTCTGTTAAGCAAGTGCAGCGGTAAAACAAGAATGTGGCTCCTCCAGCCATCATCAACCCAGAAACTTCTCTCACTTCGTGGAGCCACACCTACTACCCCAGAACTGAGATCAGCTACGGGAGCTTTGGTGTGAGTCTCTCTCCCCAAAGGAAAGCCTCACCGTTTACTGGGAGGAGGGAGTCATTATTTTATGTAAAGGAGACTAGGACTGGAGGGGGAAGGGGGGCGCTGGTACCTTTTGGCGGTAAAGTCAAGACCCTCCCCCACGCCCAGTCTCTGTTCTGCAAACTTCTGCTCATCTGGCACCCGGACCTGCCGGCCGGCTTCCCTCCCTGCCTGCCGGCGCAGACTTCAGGTCAGACGTCCCTCGGGCTAGTCTCCATACATGGGCACCCGGGAGGCTGGCTGGGGCGCACCCGGACCATGCGCGTGGCAAACCAAGTGCAACTCCGCGGACCAGCACGTGTAATGTAGCGCTGGGCGCGGCTCAGGGCTTAGGAGCCTCCAGGGGACACGCATCCGTCAGAGTCGGGTCCCTGATGCCAGGAGCCCATGATGGGAAATTGACGAGGTAAACAGCAGGGCGAGAAACTCCCAATAGGTCACCCACCCTTCCTTGGGGAGGGGAGGACCTCCTGTGCCATCACTCCACACGCAGCCACCTCTATGCCAAAGGCTCACACCAGGCAAGAAACCTGGCTATAAGCGTGCCTAAACGTCAATCCAACCCGGCTGTGCCCCCTCGGGTGGCTGCTCCCAGCCGAGGGCTCACCTGGGCGCACTGTGGCGCCGGAGACGCAGGGCGAGGGAGGTTGCTTCTTACCGGAGAAGTCCGTGAGCGCAGCGATCTCTTTGGAACAGACCAGGACAGTGCAGTAGAAGAGGCGCAGGAGCTGCCCGGGAGGTTCTACCTGCCTGCGGGGTCCAGGATGCTGCGCGAGCTGCGGCACCGGCGGCGGGCGCGCGTGTCCAGGCAGAAGCATGGTGCCCGGCGCGACCTAGAGCGGGCGCGGGCCCGGGGCGCGATGGGGGTCCCTGGGCAGAGGGCAGCGTCACATGGCGGGGCGAGTCGTTGGCCTGCGGCTCCGCGGCCCCCCGCCACCTCCCGGCTCAGGCTGCCAGAGCCTCTTCCCAGCGCAGGCCAGCCCCTGCTCCCCAGCAAAGGGGAGGGGGCGGAGAAGTGGGGCGGGGCGAGGAGCCCCGGGAAGGATCCGCGTAGTTTCCCCGAGAGGAAATCTCCGCTGCCTCCCCGCGGGAGGAAACGAGGGGGGCCGAAGGGAAAGCGCAGCCTTCGCGCGCCGGGCGGCTGCGGGGGCCGGTCCCTGGCCAGCTGCCCGCCGCGGAGGGCGCCCCCAACAGCGCACCAAGGACCGCGCAACTTGAGCGCCTTTCACGCCTGGGTCCCCGCCCCGGAGACTGCCCGGCACCCCTGGCCCGGCCCGCGCTGGCCCGGCGCCAGCCTCGCCCTGGCTGCGGGAGGAGCGCGGCCGGTGCCCGTGACGCACTTTGGAGCCAGCGCCGTGCGTTGAGCCCAAGAGCCCCCGGGGCCGGGCGGAGGTAGGGGCCGTGGGAAGGTGGGGTCCTGGAGGTGTAGGACCCCAGCACTGACGTCCCTGCGACCTGCGTCGCTCCTCGTGTAGAATCACCAAGCACGCAGTTACCCCATTTCACGGAGGAAGAGACTGAGGCCCCGAGCTTTGCCCAAGCTAACGCAGCCAGGACGGAAAGAAGGGTTCGGGGAGGGGGGTTTCAAAGCGGGTCAGATGGCTCCAGGGCCGGTTTCTTTCTTCTTTCTCCGACTACGTTTCCTTTGGGTACTGGTTGTCCGCAGCGCTCGGAGGATTTGACACTGGCCCGGCATAAATAGCACCGAGCGCTAATAATTGGGCTTTGTTTTAAAATGGGCCACCGCATCTTTCTAAACCTCTCGATTACGCGCGGTGTGACCTAGGCCCAGCCCGTGGGCGAGGAGCGGACTACGTGGCCAGGGCTCGGGGATACAGAGGACAAATGCGTGGGAGCGCGTGGGGGCTCGTGGCTGAGCTCGGGGTTCGGGAACCTGGGGGCCCCAGCGACCCAAACCCCGCGGACTGCGCTAGCGTCCCGGCCGGGCGGCGCCGGCGGCAGGGAGGAGGGCTGGGCCGGCGGGCGCTCGGCACAAAGTGTTCCCGAACACCGCGGGGAGGCCCTGCCAAGTTCTCGGCGGGCCTGACGCGGAAACGTAGATAATGAGGCCCAAGGGCGGGACCAGGCGCACTGCCCCAGCCGGCTCCCAACGGCACTGCCAGCGCCGCACAGTGCGGCTGCCGGGAGGGAGGCTTGGGGACAGGAAAACCCGGACGCGCAGATCTACCTGTGGGAACGTCAAGGAGATGCGCCGCAAGGATCCAGGAGGGGTGGATCACTTGGAACCCCACAGTGCTCCAGCAGGCGCTCCGTCGGAGGAACTGGTATTTCTGTCCCCTTCCTCCCAGTCTGCATGTGGGGTGGCAAGGGCTAAACCTCAATCTTTGTTCAGTGGGACCCATTCTACCGGGCACAGTGATTTAGAATCTGTGTTAAAAGACTCTGGGGCGCTTGGGTGGCGCAGTGGGTTAAGCCTCTTATTTTGGCTCAGGTCATGATCTCAGGGTCCTGGGATCAAGTCCCGCATTGGGCTCTCTGCTCAGCAGGGAGCCTGCTTCCCACTCTCTCTGCCTGCTTCTCTGCCTACTTGTGATCTCTGTCTGTCAAATAAATAAATAAAATATTTTTAAAAAAATACTCAACCTTCTCCAGGCGCCTGGCCGGTTCAGTCGGTAGAATGTGCAACTCTTGATCTCCAGGTTGTGAGTTCCCGCCTCATGTTGGGTGTAGAGAATATTAATTTTTTTTTAATCTTAAAAAAAAAAAAACCCTCAACCTTCTCAATAACTTTCGGACGTAAGTATTAGTATGCACTTTCTAGGTTGGGGAAACTGAGGCTGGGAAGGTAGGTAAGGATGCCTAGCACTAGGAGCCACTGAGTAAGTAAGTATTGTTTGCTCATAACTCAGCTCCCCGGTGTAGCTGGAGTCCCAGCCATTCACTTGTCTGGTTTCAGTATGAATTGGTGAGTGCTAGGGGATGTGGGGGCTTGTGCAGTCAGGGAAACTGGCTCCCACATGGTTGGGGGATAGGGGGAACTCCTGCTAAGGTTGTGTAGGCATAAACTTGTTTCCAGGCGCCAGTGTGGGCTCTGTTGCTGACCAGGCACACCCATGGTTTCCTTCTCTATAAAGTCTCAGGCTTGTGACCCTTTAATTAGTTAATACACATGACCTGGGTAGGACAGGGTCTGAAGCTGGTAAATGCTTGGTCAATATTAGTCATTATTGGGCACCTGGATGGCTCAGTCATTAAGCCTCTGCCTCCAGCTCAAGTCATGATCCCAGGGTCCTGGGATTGAGCCCCGCATAGGGCTCCCTGCTCTGATACCCTCTCTCTCTTAGCCTGTCTCTGCCTACTTGTGCTCCCTGCTCAGCGGGAAGCGTGCTTCTCTCTCTCCCTCTCCCCCTGCTTGTGTTCTCTCTCTCGCTGTCTCTCTCTGTCAAATAAATAAAATCTTTTTAAAAATATTAGTCATTAATACAGATAGGAAGACAGTGACTGGAGAATCATAAACTAAAAGGGGACACAGAGCAGAAGAGAGGGGGAGCTGAGTGATAGTAAAAATTGTTTTATTGGCATATAGTTGACATACTATGTTTTGTTATTTCCTGGTGCACAACACAGCGATGGGACAATTCTCTGTATTACAAAATGCTTGTCACAATAAGTATATTCCCATCTGTCACCATATGTTGTCACAGTATTATTGACTATATTCCCCATACTGTCCTTTTCATCTCCACGACTGATTTATTTTATAACTGGAAATCTATACCTTTTATTTATTTTTTTAAAGATTTTATTTAGGGGCACCTGGGTGGCTCAGTGGGTTAAGCCTCTGCCTTCGGCTCAGGTCATGATCTCAGGGACCTGGGATCCAGCCCCGCGTAGGGCTCCCTGCTCTGATACCCTCTCTCTCTTAGCCGGCCTCTGCCTACTTGTGATCTCTGTCTGTCAAATAAATAAATAAAATCTTTAAAAATATATTTTATTTATTTATTTGTCAGAGAGAGAGAGAGCACACAAACAGGGGGAGCAGCAGGCAGAGGGAGAAGCAGACTCCCCGCTGAGCAAGGAGCCCACTGGGGGACTCCATCCCAGGTTCGAGGGATCATGACCTGAGCTGAAGGCAGACACCCAGCTGACTGAGCCACCCAGTCATCCCAAGTTTGTACCTTTTAATCCCCTTCACCTACTTCCCTCATCCTCTCAGCCCCCTCCCTTCTGGCAACCATGAATTTGTTCTCTGTATTTATGAGTCTGTTTCTGATTTTTAGTTTGTTCATTTGTTATTTTGTTTTGTTTTTAAGGCAAGATGGATAGGAAAGATGGGAACAGTTTGCCAAGAAAAAACTAGCCAAACCTAGGTGTTTGGGAGGGTGAACATTGTAGAGAAAGGGACCTGTGGGGTACCTGGGTGGCTCAGTCGGTTAAGCATCTGACTCTTGATCTCAGCTCAGGTCTCCATCTCATGGTCTTGAGTTCAAGCCCTGCTTTGGAGCCTACTTAAAATAAAAAAGGGAGGGAGGGAGGGACGGAGGAGGGAAAAAAGGAGCGAAGGAGGGGAGACCAGCTGTGTGAAATCCAAAAGGAGCATCAGGGCAGAAATCAAAGGGCGGGGCATGCTGATGTGGAGAGGGTGGCAGCCAGAGACTTTGGTGAGCACTTACATCCTTACCCTAAGTCCTTGGGAGCGTTCCTATCTTTATCCTAAGCCACCAAAAGGTTGCTAGCAGAGGAGTGAGGCGATCAGGTGTGAAAGATTGGCCTGGCCGCTGAGTGTCCCTGGACTGGAGGGGTCAAATATGGGTCCAGGATTTTATCCCCAAAAGAAGTGAAAGCAGGGACTCAAACAGATACTTGTCAAACAGTATTTTCTGCAGGATTATTCACAATAGCCCAAAGGTAGAAGCAACCCCAGTACCCATTGTCGGATGAGTAGATGAACAAAATGTGGACTAGTATTCAGCCATAAAAAGGAATGATTTCTGATTCCTCCAAACATTATACAAAGTGAGACAAGCCGGACACAAGATGATAAACACGTATGATTCCACTTACATGAACTATCTAGACAAGGCAAATTCATAGAGATGAAAAGTGAATGGGAGGTTACTAAAAGAAGGGAGAATGGAGAATTAGTGCCTAATGGGTCCAGAGCTGTTGTTTGGGGTAATGAAAAAGTTCTGAAATAGATAGTGGAGATGGTTGCCCAACATGGTGAATGTAATTAACACCACTGAATTGTACCCTTAAAATGGCAAATTCTATAGGTTTTTACAACTTCAGAAAATTTATAATGTAGTATTCCAAAAAACATGAAATGGTATGCTTTAAATGGGTGGGTTGCATGGTATGTGAATTATATCTCCATAAAGCTGTGTTTGTTTTTTTTTTTTTTTAATCAAACAGTAAGAACATCAGAGTGGCTCCAAGGAGATGGCTGGGGGAAGTGCAGCCAGGAGGCTCTCTTTGGGGCTGGGGCTTTGTAGACCCACAGAGAAAGGGCAAGTTGGAGAGGTCTCGGGAGGGGCTTAACAGTGCTGGGTGGCCAGGCTGTTGTGGAACACAGGAGAGAGGAACCTGGAGGATGATTCCTGAATGCCCTCCACTTTTCCCCTCAGCTACTTGTTGTAAAGCCAGATTTTTAATCCTAATCTGATCTCTTTAAGAATTTTGGAATCTTGTGAGAAAATTAAAGAATTCTATTTATCTTCCTCGCTGGACCCCACACTTCCAAGTCCCTTTGGGCCCCAACCAAATGGAAACCACTTACTGCCTATGCCCTCATTCCCCCATCTCTAAATATTATAGTCAAACACCTCAACTCTGGGGCACCATAAAAACTCTATGGACAGGAAAATGGGGGGAAAACACACACTTCAAAGAGAGGGAAGCTCTTATAAAATCAATGTGGGGCATGAAGAGAAATGACCTTTCCCACCAAGCCTGGCAAGAGGACTCCTGAAATGTCACTCCTGAGGGCAGCCCTTTGAGACAGGTACTACCCAGGATCCGGCCACATCATTCTTGCTGGCCCTAGTGCAACATGAAAACTTGGAGTTTCTTGTCCAAAAATTATGAAGAATTTCAAGATGGCGACAGCAGAGCCTGTGAACCAAGTGTGGGCTCTTCTAGCACGGGGTCTGGAGCAACGGCAAAGCTGGCCGTGATGCTACCATTGTCTCTAGATCTCAGATGTGGGAACTGACCACATGAACTCCCACACATAATTTGGGGCAGAATCTGAAGCTTTCTTAACCAGCGAAGACACAGGAATCTGGGAAGGATGCTGGTATGGAGTA